TTGACTGCTAACCAGAAGGCTGGCAGTTCAAATCCACCAGCCACTCCTCGGAAGGAAGATTGGGCAATCTACTTCCGTAGTGATACTGCCTCAGAAACCCAAGGAGGGGTTGCTCTATGTCGGATCTGACTCGATGGCAGTGAGTTTGGTTTTTTGGTTTGGTGTAGTAAATAAGTGAAACCAAAAGACTCAGTAGTCACCCATGATGCCATCAGCAAGAACTTAACCACTTTTAATGGTTTGGAATAGATCCTGACAAATTTAAAATGAAATCATAGCATCACAGCTTTGTAAAACCCAATATATCGTGCTCATTTCCCTACATCATACATACTGAAGGTCATGATTTTTAATGACTAAATTTATTTCATGTTATAAGTGTATCATTTTCTAACCTCCATTGTTAAGCACTTAACTATTTCTTAACTTTTTGTGGAGTAGAACTGCCCCACAGGGTTTCCAAGGTGTCAGTTTTTATGGCAGCAGACGGCCTTGTCTTTCTTGTGCAGAGCGGAGCAGCTGGGTTCGAAGAGCTGACCTTTTGGTTAGTAACTGAGTGCTTAACCACCGTGCCTCGAGAGCTGCTTTGCTTCTGAAGATCATGCTGTGACATGAACATTTTGTTCACAGGTTTCATTGTTTTCCTGTGATTGATTTCCAGAAGTCAATGAATGAGTCAGACAGCGGTCAAGAGCTTTCCCAGACTTTGGCTGTGCAAACACTGGAATGACTGTAACAGCTAACTTTTAACGTTGTTGATAGATGCTCTGGTGTTTTCTGATGGTAGCATCGCCATGGGACAGAGTAGGACTGCTCCACAGAGTTCCTTCTAGGCTGTTATCACCAGTTCCCCAGGACCTGTGGGGGCTGAAACTGCCAACTTCCAGGAAAAAGATGAGGCAGTCGCCTTCCATAAAGACTGGGGCCTAGGAAACCCTGTGGGGCTGTTCTGCCCTGCCTTACGGGGCGCCCAGCAGCAACGGGGAAGTGGAGAGCGTTTGGTGCGTATAGTTCCTTTCAAGGCTGTGCTTTCCTTCAGTATCCCCCGGCGGTCCAGCACTTGGTTGACCTCGGCGCAGTGGAGTTCTTCTCCAAGCTTCGTTCTAACGTGGAGCCAGACCTGCAGGCTTCAGTCGATGGCCTACTGGACGGGCTCTTCACGCTGCCCTCCGAAGCTCCCACGCCGCGGCGCACGTCCTCCCAAACCAGCCCACTCGGTAACGCCTGGGAATCAACTGACTGCATTCCGTGTGGGGCCAGGACTTAGATCGGTGCTCCTGGAGCATGACTCTCTGTCGGCGCTGTGCCGTGCACTGCCTCTTAGTTCTCCTCAGCTCACTAAGTCGTACGAAGACTCAGGTTCACCTGGGGATACGCAGTGTTCACGGCTGCCGTGAGGCTTATAGTGAGGAAAATAAAACAAGAAATAGATCATTTCAGATCATGATATGTGTTAGGAAGGAAACTGAACACAGCTAGAAAGTGCTGCAGTGACCAGGACTGAGAGAGTCCTGGCCCTGCCACAGGCTAACAGGCTGGGTAACTCTGGACCAAAGGTGCTTTGTTGAACAAGGCACGTTGCTTACGTTAGTGGACAACCGTTAACATAACACCGTGTGCTTTCTTTCCAGACTTTTCACAGAAGCCTGCGGTCCTGACGGGCTATTTTCCTCAAGGCAGAAGTAGTTTCCAGCAGACAGAAGGGCCTCAGCGACTGGTGGGTGAGTAGCGCAGCGAAGTTGATTCTTCACAGCAGTGACTGAGATACAGGCCTTCTCTCTCTGGTTATTGCCAGGCTACATCCTAAGAGGGCAAACTGAATCTTTCCATTGGGTCAAAAGGTACACTTGAAATGGTTAAAGGATAATTTATTTTTGTTATATATGTTTTAGAACAATAAGATTTTTTTGAGCAAGTATGAAAAAGCAGAAGAAAGAAGTAACTTGAGCTTTGTAGTTGGAAGTTGTATTGGTGTCTCAGGTTCCTTTTTGTCTGTCTGCACACTGACATCTGATCTCCAGCCTGATGGTCTCCGAGTCATCTTTGCTGAGGTTTGCACTCAAGGAGACGGTTCACACCATGCAGGCTGATGAGGCGTGGCTTATTAATTATAGTACAGGGTTATACCAGCGTTAACTTCTCTTTGTAAAGGTTTTTGCCACATGCCAATTCCTTTTATGTTAAATTTAAACTTGATGTTCTGGTCAGCCGTAGGGTAGGATAGAAAGCTCAGTGAAAACTTTAAAATATCGTCCATTGTCGGTGTGTGCTTAATACTGTTCCTCAAACGCTTATTTTCATAGCATATCAGTTCTGTTTAATTATGAGAAGGAACCTCATTTATTCCATGAGCAAACTCTGCAACTTACCTTGTTTGGTGTATTTTCAGTGACTGTAAGATGAACCTTCATTTTGGAAATGATGTGAAAGGTGGAGCCTGACCGTGTGTGGGTTGTGTTTTTCTTCTAGAGGCCTTACATTTTGCTGTTGTATTAACAGGACCTCAGGCTGTGAAATGTTTGAAGTTTTGTGCGTTTCCTTGGCTGCCCCTGACCACGACCGACAGACACGTCCTTTCCTCGAATGAAAGGTATGGTGCTTGAGTGCTTGAGGTGTTCTTGTTTGTTTGCAGCCGTTGGTGCTAGTTATTGCTATACATCGTCACAAGAAGGAAACAAGAAGGAAGTGGCTATGAAAGGTAGCAGTGGGAATAAAGGAGAGTGTTTCAGTGTTTCCAAAAGCAAACCCGAAGATTTTCATCAGGTTTCTTTTTTTGTAGGTAGCATCTGTGTCATCCTTGTGATATGAGTTCTCTCGTTGAGATTCCCTGATTGGCCGTTGCTTTTATTTTGGATTGATAAAAAATGGGAAAACTAGACATAAATGGAGGTTTTGTTTTGATGGACAGTGTATTTCAAAACATGAGCTATTAGGAGAAACTTGGTATGATGTTCAGAAGGTTGGGAACTGCTGGCCTGATCTTACTGTGAATGACATTCACTGGTTGTGCTTGATGTTGACAAAGTTCAGAGCCACCATTCTAACCGTGTAATGGACGTTCAGCAGTCGTTGTCCTCAGAAGTAGGTAGTGGACATATAGAAGTTTGAGAGTTGTTTCATGTCTGGTTCACTTTTTGTTGCAACTTTAATTTCAGTGAGCAGCACCATAAGTGAGTTGTCTGTCATTTTTTGGTGCGAATCTGGGAAATAAAGACCAACTTGCTAGGGTTCAGCTCAGACAGAGGTGGGTGCTATTAAGTGTGTGTTGATGGTGGCTGTGCCTGCCCCTGGGAACAGAGTGTGACAGGTGGGGTTGCAAGCCTGATGTCATCCGCTCATTTCTTCGTCACTTCGTGAGGAAGAGGTGGTGGCAGTTTCTCGTGCAGGCTTCTGGATGGAGGATGGTGGGTGGTGGATGGTGGCGGGTGGTGGCCGGTGGCCGAGACTGGGGAAGGTGAGGTGCTGGTTCTTGGAGTTGGGGGGTGAACAGCTGCTGCCTTCCTGGTAGGCACATGTTTTCTAAGAAGTTGGTGGGATGAGAAGGATGTCCCAGCTCGACCTGCCTGGAGCAGAGGAGAGAAGTGAGGAGTCGAATTCCTAGAGTTGTGCTCTTACTCACTGTCATGCTCTGTTCTCATTTCTGAATTCACTTAGCAGATTTCTTTGACCTCGGTCCTTTTGACCCCAGTGAACTCAATTTGCACCATTTTGGTAGGTTCTGGGCTTAGAGTGAGGAGTATAGTGTAGTGTCTGCACCCGAGGAGGATCCGGGAGGGGATACACAGGCAACAGCAATGACAATAACACAAAATACACGGGTGTGGGAGCACCTGTCCCATGCATGTAGCTATCTCTGTATTTTGCTATTAGTCCTGTTATATGTGTATGTGAGTGTGTGCACACACGTGTGTGCATGTGTGGACATGCATGTCTGTATTAAAAGGCATGTAATGACACCCTAGATTCCATTCCACAACTTTTATCTAAGTTTTCCTCTGTTTCTCATTTGTCACCTTCTCATGACAATAAGTAACCTTGCTCTCATTATCGGCGTAATGTTGGCCTGTCTGCTCGGCCCTGATGTGCTGTTCTTTTGACTGGGGGAGATCAGAGAAGGCTGCCAGGGGGAGTGGTGTCTCAGCTGAGGCTGGGAGGAGTTTTCCTAGTGTCACTGGGTTATGTAGAGTCTGGTATAGGTGAACTGGAAAGTACATGATGCTGTATTTTGTAGCTCTCTGAGAAGCAGTAAGCACACTCTGATCTGGAATACCTGTGAACTCTTGAAGGACGTTATTATGGAAGATTTTCCTGCTGAAATTTTCCTACAAAGGCCCCAAATCGTCCAGGTGAGCGCACTCCGTGATTGTTTCAGATTTTGAATTAGAGAGTTTTTAGCAAATAAAACACATTTTTCAAAGAAGATTCCTAAGGAAGAAAATTTGCAGTTAAGTTTTTTAAAAATAAAGTATTTGGTTATGTAAATCACTTATTCTCTAACGTTTTCGAATGGTAGTAGTTTTTCTGATGGCTGGTAGTTTTATTCACATGATGCAGTCTAGTTCGACTGCTGTGAATTGACCGTTTATGGGTCACCTGAAGGCAAATGGACTTGGGTGCTTAGGCTGCGTAGCAGTAGCTCTTATTAGTGGCAAGAATAACACTGCGTTTTGAGTTTCTAGTATGTTTAGGCAGTGTTGGTGCTGTGAAATGAACAGTACAGATGGACGTCTCCTGTCTCATATGCTGCTTAACTAATCAAGAGAGAAGGACCCAGGGTAGGGGTTGTGGCATATCTCCCACGTCCAGTTCCGTCCACTGTGTCCAGTTCCGTCCACCACATCCCATCCCATCCACCACATCCAGTCCCATCCATTATGTCCCGTCCTGTCCACCACGTCAAGTCCTGTCCACTGCGTCCCATCCTTTCCACCACATCCAGTTCCATCCACAGCATCTTGTCCTGTCCGCCATGTTGAGTCGTATCCTGAGTCGAGTCCTGTCCCATGCATCCAGTCCTGTCCACCGTGTTGAGTCCCATTCACCACGTCCAGTCCCGTCCTGTGTTCGATCCTGTCCACTGCGTCCAGTCTTGTCCCCCATGTCGAGTCCCACCCATTGCATTCCATCCCATTCCCTGCATCCAGTCCTATCCACAGCTTCTTGTCCCAGCCACCATGTTGAGTCCTGTCCATTGTGTCCTCCCATCCCTCTCATCCAGTCCCATCCACAGCTTCTCATCCTGTCCACTGCATTGAGTCCTGTCCACTGCATTGAGTCTCAGCCACTGCGTCCAGTCCCATCCACCATGTCCAGTCCCGTCCACCACGTCTCGTCCACTCTGTCCAGTCCTGCTCACTGTGTCCAGTCCCGTCCACCATGTCCAGTCCTGTCCACCGCATCCAGTCCTGTCCACCGTGTCCAGTCCTAACTACAGCATTCTGTCCCCAGCATCTAGTCGTGCCTCAGCCCTTCCCAGTCACTGGGCTGAAGTGGATCTCAGTGAATGACAGCTATTGATACATGTTTAGCTGTCACCACTGGCGTGTGATAGCAGAGGAGAGATGTTAATGACCAAAAAGTGGCAAAATGATTTTGGTGTTAGAGGTGAGAGAACGTGAAAGTCGTGTGTAGTGTAGCGTCCTGAGTGGGATAGATTCCCGTGTCCTCTCAGGATAAGTCTGTACTGACAGATGTGAGAAACAAGAGGGCCTGACTGTTGAAAGGTTATCATCCTGCCATGGCCTGTCTCTGTGTGGTATGCGAAGTCAGGTTTGCTCGTTTCTGTTTCCTAGGTCTTACACACATTCGCCAGTTGGTTCAGGTTCCTTTGGTTCTTCTCTTAACTGCGTGTAAGCCGCTTCTGTGAGGCCGGGCGCCTTGTCTGCTCACTCGTTTGCCCGCTGTCTTTCCCAGGGCCTTTTGTCTCTGCTGAAGCTGGCTTTTGCAGGAGACGGGAAGCATCGCCTGGCTCTGCAGTCCGCGTCGTGCCTGCAGCAGCTGTGCACCAACTTAAGGAACCGACTCAACTTTCACCGAGACCCAGGCTTTTTCTCTAGTAAACAAGGTACCTGCGCTTGTGGACTGGGGAGCAACTGGCATGTGCAGGCCCTCTGCAAGCACCCCTGTGGCTGCTGTTACCTTCAGGCTTGGTGTGTATGCGTTTCTGCCACATAAAATCCCCACTCCTGAATGTCACTGGAGCGCCATCTTTGAGAGGAACAGAGCCACCGGCTCTTTTGTTTGCTTGTTCTGGAGAGAGGTGGTTACAGTCTGCCCTCTTCCCCCCGTTTCTCATCAATAGAGTGCTGTCGGGAGCTCGAGAGAGAGACGCTGAGTGTGCTAGTGCAGAGCCGCTGTGGGCACGTCAGTGAGTCCTGGGTTGTGTTAGGAAATGCTTTGAAAACATTTTGTGTCTTGTAAAACTCGTTATTACAGTTGTACTAACACATGTGCGTACATGTAGAGGGACGTTGGCCACTTCATCATCTTTCACACGTGTAGTTGAGTGGCGTCTGTTCCTCCGGCTGCTGTGCAAACACCCCCACCTGCTTTTCCCCAAGTTTTATAACCCTGAACAGGAGTCCTTAGGTAATAACTCTCAAAAGCCGTGCATACATATTTTGAACACTTTTTTTGTGTTTAGGTGAAATCTTCAAAGTGAACTAGTTTCCCACTTGGCAGCTTATCCATGGATCATTTTGGACGTTAGTCGCAGTCCCCTCAGCGGGTCAGCGCTCTCCAAGCTGGGCTCCTCCTTCCTAGGGCCAGCTTCCCTTCCTGCCTTCTGCGTTTTTGTGAACTTGTGGTCTTGTCTGGAGGGTTGGTACCAGTGCCCTACTGCTCAGGGAAAAAGCGCCACCTCCTGGCTTAGGGGAGTCCTGACCTGACTTGATAAGCAGTCTCCACCTTAAGGATTCTGTCCTCATGTAGATGGTCGTGGTAGGTGGTCGGCGCTGGGCGTGTCATGAGGCATGTGCTCTGGTGATTTGTCATCATGCCTCCCAGTTGATCTGTGTTTCGCTGGGAGTTTCACTGAGCCTGTGTGGCCTGAATATTTGAGCCCTCCCTCGACTCTGTGTAGAGCACTCACGGTGAGGTTTCCTCCCTGACATCCCTGAGGCGTGCCATTTCCCAGTGATTGATCACAGTGCCTGCGCCTCCCACGTCAGCAGCAGAAGAGCTCGACTGCGCATGAAAATAGTAGGAGTCTCCGAAGGTTGATTGACTTGTTCAATCAACATTAGTTCATCACCTGCTTGGTGGCAGTCAATGGTCTAGCCACTGGGTATGGAACACTGAACACATGAGGCCCCAGCCCCTTAGAGCTTATGTTTTCAGAAGGTTGAGGACAGGTAATAAGTACGTAACCCAGTTAGTTTCAGGTGAGTGCTTGAAGGAAACAGAGGTGTGCCTGGAAGGGACGGAGAAGCATGGCTTCATTCCGTCGGCTGAGCAGAGGGAGCCCCTCCGGGGAGCTGACCTGACGGCTGAGAAGGAGTCCTGTGCTTGGAGAGCTGCAGGCAGAGTGCTGCAGAAAGGGCAGGGCGGGTGTGAGCGGGGCAGAAACCGGGCTGCGGGGCTGGGGCGCAGGATGCCAGGAAGGGCGTGCGGTGAGGAGCTCAGAGGATCGGAGAGGCACGTGAGGGCTGGGCAGGATTTCGGGTTTCCTTTCAAGTGTGGTGAGCTCTTGGAGAGTTTTAGGTAGAGGAAGCATGGTGCAGTATTCTCCTTTGATAACCTTGATACTGTATGTGAATTACGTTGGCTGGAAGGTTCTGTAATTAGGTCAGTTAGAGAGAAACCCAAATGTGGTGTTGATACTCCAGGAGAACGTTGGTTTTTACTTTTTCTCCCCAGTAGAAGCACTTTCACTGTCTTATGTTTCCTGGAAGAATGACACATAAACGGCCTGGTTGTGAGTTGCCGTTGGGTTGGCTGTGGCTCGTGGCCACCTGTGTACAGCAGGATGCAGTGCTGTGTGGCCCTGCATCATATTGTGATTGTTGGTGTGTTTGAGTGGTGTTGGCTGTGGCTCGTGGCCACACCATGTACAGTAGGACGCAGCCGTCTCTACTCCTGCTCCGTCTGCACAGTTGTTGGTGTGCATCAGGTTGTTGTTGGGGCCACTGTGTGTTTGGAGGGCCTTCCCCCCCGGGGCTCGCCCTCCAGCGCCGTGTCACGGTGGCCTGTGTGTGTTTGCAGGGCCTTCCCCCCCCGGGGCTTGTCCTCCAGCGCCGTGTCACGGTGTCCTGCTGTGAGCACTGGGTTTTCACTGGCTCATTTTCGGAAATAGGTCACCAGGCCTTTCTTTCCAGTCTGTCTTAGCCTGGAAGCTGCACTGAAACTTGCCCACCATGGGTGACCCTGCTGGTACTTGAAATTCTGGTGGCATGGTTTCCTGCCTCACAGCAACATGGGAGCACCACAGTGTGACACACTGACAGACTGGGGTGGACATCACTACTACATAAGCATCACTATTTTGTGCAAACAATGCATGTGTTACATGGTTTTTTTGAAAATTGCACACCCCCCTTGCATGTTAGTTTTCTGCGTATTATTTACACGGGCATGGGAGCATTATTTGCAAAACATGCAGTCATCTGTTTTGACTGAGGGATAATTTATTTATGTTTTTATGTTCCAGACACGGTCTCCCAGAATTCCTCCTTGTCTTACTGTCCTGAACCCAGAGGGGCTCACCATTCGCAGAACCCTTCCCCAGGAAGCAGCAGCCCTCGGCCCTCTGTGCTCGGGCGCACAGGCCAGCGTCCCCGAGGGGACGGCCAGGACTGGGATGCAGCATCTTCCAGGTGACTGTGGCTGTGTCTGCAGGGCATCAGCAAAGCCCAGTTAACTTAGGTATTTGTGTGTACGGTCATGTCAGAGGGAGATAATTTTTTGTTTTTAGACATTGCCCTTGATACAGGCCTTGTTTTAAACTAGTAATTTTCACACTTTTTTGATCATGATCCTCAGTAAGAAATATTACATTGCAGCACAGTAAAAAACCATACTCTGTGCTTGTATGTGTGTCAACAAAAACAAAATGTGCAGGGAACAGTGTTGCTGATTGCATGTGTCATTGCATGTTGGACTGTGATCATTTCTGTTTTATTAAAAAAGAGGATAATTCTGACTCACAGAATTAGGTCTACCAGTCGTGCACAAAGTCTGATTTAGTTAAAAATCACTGCTTTAATTAGAGATGGGTGTTTCATAACATTTAAAGCACAGATTTTTAAGTTTAAAAGTAATTTAAGTATTTAAGTAAATTAAATACATCTGTGTTAACTATTAAGAAGAATGATTGGAGGCTCTTTGTAAAGATGATCTCGTTTCTGTGTTTGTGTAAATATAGATTTTCCTATCATCAGGTTTACTTAAAGGGCTCAGCATGGTGTTTGTAGTTACATCTCATTCAGCCTGCGAGCGCCTTGCAAACGTTGCAGTGTCTTCTGTCTGTTAGTGCGGTTCTAGTGAGTGTTCTATCGGGCACGCTTGTCTGTTGGCGGATGGTTTTCTCCTGCCGCTGCCACTCCTCTGTGGTGCTGACCGTGCCCCTTGTTTGCTGTGTGCACGGTGCTCCTCTGCGGTGCTGACCGTGCCCCTTGTTTGCTGTGTGCACGGTGCTTTGCCAGCTGCACTACCTGCGCTGGCTCCTTTCATCCTCACAGCAACCTGGTATTAGGGTTGGTACCGTCAAGATTTCATATTCCTTGGTTCCACAATCAACACCAGTGGAAGCAGCAGTGAAGAAATCAGAGGATGCATTGCACTGGGCAAATCTGCTGCAAAAGACCTCTTGAAAGTGCTGCAGAGCAAAGATGTCTCGTTGAAGACTAAGGTGCGCCTCACATAAGCTATGGTATTTTCAGTCGCCTCATATGCGTGCAAAGGCTGTACACTGAATAAGGAAGACCGAAGAAGAGTTGATGCTTTTGAACTGTGGTGCTGCTGAAGAATACTGAGAGTATCATGGGTATCAGAAGAACTAACAGATGTGTCCTGGAGGAAGTGCAGCCAGAATGCTCCTTGAAAGTGAGAATGGCCAGACTTAGTCTCACCTACTTTGGTCATGTCAGAAGGGACCATTCTCTGCAGAAGGCTATCATGCTTGGTAAAGTGGAGGGTCAATGAGAAAGGGGAGGGCCCTCCACAAGATGGATTGACACAGTGGCTGCAACCATGGGCTCACGCACAGCATGAATTGTGAGGCTGAAGCAGGACCGGGCGGTGTGTTGTTCTGTTGTACACAGGGTCGCTGTGAGTCGGACCCGACTTGATGGCACCTAACAACAACAACAACACCATCATCAGGATGGTCTAGTGAGGCTGAGAGCCTCACGCCTGTTTGCACAGCTGGTCAAGCACAGATGTGCGCAGTTTATATAATGTCATTTATGTGTTTGTATAAATATAGATGTTCATATCATCAGGTTTACTTAAGGGGATCTAGGGTGTAGTCAACATGATGTGCAGTCCTGTGCCCCTCACTCTCTGAGGACTGCTCTTGTTGCTTCACTGCCATGGTGGTTTCTTTACCCTCATGACACCCTCCCACATTTCCCACGCACCACCCTCCGGCACGACATGACCCTTGAGTGCATACCCTCCTCAGAGCCTTTCATAGTTTCAAAGCAGCAGGGCCATTTTTGTGTTTTTGAATGCCTGGCACATGGAGATTGAAAACTTGCTGAAGTGAGTGTAGACATGCCTTGGTGCAGATCAGTGTCATTCCTGGATAACGTTGCAATGCGGAATCCTGAGGTTTCATGTGCATATGAGGTTCCATCCTCACCCCCACCACTTTACACCCAATGCAAGAAGTTTTTAGTAAAGAAAGCTGAGAAATGGGGGTGTTCCATTTTCTAGTGCTTTTGAAAATCATGTGGTTTTGGCCGTATTAAATAAATAAACTCATCCACTTGCTGCCATGTTTTTCTGGTAACTTCCTCTACTAGCAGACGTTGACTTCCTTAGAACATGTCCTGAAAGTCACAGGACGTTTGGGAGACTGAGGGAGCTGTCTAGTTTTAACTTCCTCTACCAGCAGACGTTGACTTCCTGAGAACATGGACGTCTGGGAGGCCGAGGGAGCTGTCTAGTTTTGCTGAGCCTGTCAGTTGATGGCAGACCGGCTTCACTCTGGATCCTTGTTTGGTTTAGAAGCCGACAAGTTACCAGTGCTCGGGATGGTTGCTGCCGTAGAAATCATCATCCATCTCCAGATGCTCAGTTTAAGAAGCAACACTGAAATCCGTTTTTGACTTCATTTATAATTTTGAGCCATCTTTATGAAGTTTATGAAGTTCATAAACTTTTGAAGGCTTTGAAAATCTTACCAGAATTGTAGCATGAAGCGGTATACCAAACCTGTTGCTGTTGAGTTGGTTCTGACTCATGATGACCCTAGAGAACAGAATAGAACTGTCCCTTAGGATTTCCAAGGCTGTCATCTTTATGGAAGTAGACTGCCTCATTTTTCTACTGAGGAGTGGCTGGTGGGTTTGAACCCCCAACCTTTTGGTTAGTAGCCTAGCGCTTAACCACTGTGCCTCCAGGGCTCCTTGAAGCGCCACAGATGTGTCTGACAGGAATCTTCTAATCTGCAGCAGAAGCACAGAAAGTCTGTTGAGAGTGGTTCCCGGGTTCAGGCTGGTTATTTGTCTTTCTCACAGTGGAAGCAGTAGTCACGCTCATGTCACCTCCAGGATGTCTGCCCCCTCGCCCCTGGACAGGGGACCCGTGGACCTGCCTGAGTTGGGAGCTGAAGATGTCCTGGGGCTGCAGCTCCAGCAGCTCAGCCTCCCCCAGTTCTGTGTCTCTGTGCTGGAGTCAGCAGTTCCTCTGTTGCGGACAGGTGCGTTTTTTTGAAGTCATAGTCTTTTTCTGCAGTTTTTGTTGGTTTTATGTTTTCTAGGACTCTTGCTTTTTTCTGTCTTCAGGCCTCTACAGTCTGTGTTTACTTACCTTTCGGGCTACAAGTTCCTAAAAACAAAAAACCAAACTCACCATCCTCATAGCGACCCCTCCTTGGGTTTCCGAGGTGGTATCACTACAGAAATAGATTCCGCAACCTTCCTTCTAAGGAGTGGCTGGTGGGTTTGAACCGCCAGCCTTCTGGTTAGCAGTCAGATGTCTTAGGCACTACCCCACCAGACCTCCTAATAGGATCTCTAGTATCTTATTTAAATGTGGGGGTCGTGGAGAGCTGTGCATGTGGAGAGTCCCCTGGCCTTATGGCTCCCACTTGCATGCGGCTGTTCGGATGTGAGCGCTGCCAAGTGGAGGAAGTTGGAGAAGGTGGATTGGTGTGAACAGACCCGCATAGAAATGTCCTCGAAAAGCCTCAGAGTTCTCTGAACAGCTTTCCCTTCTTCCCACCCATTCCTCACTCAAATCGTGAAGCACGTTAAAAGCAAAAACAAAACCTCTGCATTAATTTATCTATCTTAAAAAATACACCCCAAGAAACCCAGCAAGAATTAAAAAGTATTCCAAAGGTAGGTTTTCTCTCCTATGTTCCAGGTCCGTTTGCAAAGATGGGGTGAAACACATGGTAAGTGGCTGCAGTTTGAGGAGGGGTGGTAATGACAGCAGTAGCAGTATGGCTGCGGTCTTCTCCCGTCCAGTAACAAGAGGCCACCATGCCCTGAGCCCCTGTCATGGCTGGTTGTTGGGCTTGGTTGTATGTGTTATTTCATTCACTCCTGAAGGAAGGTAACTTTTTAATCTCCATTTTACAATTGAGAAAACTATGAGATTGAGGTGGTTTAGAAACTTACCCAAGAGCAAGCAGCTAAGAGGAAGGATCGACCAAGACTTCCTCTGTCCAAAGGCCATGCTCAAACCCAGGCCCTCCTTCATCCAGGATCTCTGCTTGGACCCAGGCCCTCCTCCCAGACCCAGGCCCTCCTCCGTCCAGGGTCCCTGCTCGGACCCAGGCCCTTATCCATCCAAAGCCCATGCTCTTGAACTCATTAGCATTTGTCTCGGAGGATGGAAAAGCAGAACAATTGGAAGCAGTGGTAATTTTTTGTTCCCTAAGCTCTGGTAGCATAGTGCCTATGGCGTTTGATTGCTAACCAGAAGGCTGGTGGTTCAAACCTGCCAGCCACTCCTCAGAAGGAAGGTTGGGCATTTATTTTCATAGCGATACCACCTCAGAAACCCAAGGAGGGGTCACTGAGTCAGATTGACTCAACTGCAGTGAGTTTGGTTTTGGTGTTTGGTTAAGTCTATACGTTTGCAGCCATGGATGCACTTGTCACGATGCAAATACAAGGTAGGTATTTTGCCCTTTGGAGTGTATACTGGCAGAGTGAACCATGTGCTAAGACATTTATGCATTTATGGTTCTGAAAATCTGGCTGCTGTTTGCTTGTTTGGAGGACATGGAGAGGAAGGCAAGAGGAAGGGGTCTACTTGGGAAGGGTTTACTTTTTTTTTTGCCCCTTGAGGCAAACTATACCTTGCTTTCTCCCTGACTGACTAACTTGGTTTCTGGGAGCTGGGACCTGGTGTTAATTCATGGACTCTTGTGAAACACAGGATGACGTGAATGTTGGCATTAGTAAGTCTATGTCTTGATCAACATAACCAGCAGGAGAACTGGTTTACATGGAATGGTTTTGCATTTAACCTTCTCTTAATTTGCTGTTCAGAGTCAGGTTGATAATTGAGCAGCTCCATCTTGGATGGTAAAGTTGTGTAAATGTTCTCTTGCCCTTTTGTGGGAAGTTAGTACATAATTTGTAGCTGTTGACGCTCATGAGTGATTTCTCAGTCGGGGCCCTCCTGATCTGCTGGTTTGTTTTACTTTCATTCATTAGAAGCTGGCCTTTGGGATGTGCAACAGGAACATCATGATTGATTGTGAATCTCCCTGAGAATTGGGAGGGTGGAATCCTTTGTTCTGTCTCCGTGGAGAAGGGAGATTACTCTTGCAGCTGTGACTCTGACAATTCTACGTTGCTTTTGCAAGCTTTAAAGTTTTTTGGAATTCAAGATGAGTGTAGGCTTTAGAGGAGCCCTGGTGGTACAGTGGTTAAAGTGCTTGGCTGCCAACCAAAAGGTGGCCAGTTCAAACCCACCAGCTGCTCTACGGGAAAAGGTGTGATAGTCTCCTTCTGTAAGATTCCATTGTTGTTAGGTTGGACCCGACTCATAGCGACACCTCCTTGGGTTTCCAAGGCGGTATCTCTACAGAAGTAGATTGCCCAGCCTTCCTTCTGAGGATCAGCTGGTGGGTTTGAACTGCCAGCCTTCTGCTTAGCAGTCAAATGCCTTAGGCACTGCGCCACCAGAGCTTCTCTTAGAAACCGTATGGTGGGGCAGCTCTGCTCTGTCCTGTAGGGTCGCTGTGAGTCGGAATTGACTTGATGGTAGTGGGGGGTTGGGGGCGGGTAGGCTTGGCATGTTTCCAGTGGGATTCCTTGTGTTTCTTCAGTAAAGTCCAGGACAGTAATTTATTCCTTTAGTTGCTCCAGACTGAACTTAGCTTCCCTGGCACCTCTGAGCGGGGGGATGCGTGTTATGATGGGGCTCAGGCCCTCTGGTCCTAATCAGGAAACTGACCTTTGGAGTAGGAAGGAGAAAGCATATTCTGAACTTAGCTAGTGCTTTGTTCCTTTTGTAGAATGGTTGTTTTCAGAATTTTAAAGTTTGATTGAGTCAGTCTCACAGTGTCTGTAGTTAGGTTAGTGTCTTTGGCACTAAGGAGACCTTTTGACTGTCTTTAAATAGTCCTGCGGTCAGCACAGACGTCTTTACTGGTGGTGGTAGATCGCAACATTGTTTTTCTCTTTCAGTGGTTCTGAAACCCTCTGGCAGAAGAGAAAACAGGGATTTTGGGCATGACTACCTGGCAAATTGAGGAGCATGATACTGAGCTGCTAATTTGAAAATGAAATAACTTTTGTCTCTTTTCACCTCTCTTGTTGCATTACCAGGGAGTAGACAGATGGTGATAAGAGCTCTGGAATTGCTTGTGGAGGATGTGACCCTGATGGGTGATGCCCTTTCAACAGATATCTGGGACGACAACAGTCTTTTTGCTATAGATATGGTGAGAATCTGTGTTTTCTTTGTGGTATGGGTGGGAATATTGGTACAGTATTTTGTTTTGGTCCCTTTAAGCTGCTTTTTTTTTTTTTTTCCCATTGTGATTTGGGTGAAAATTTACAGAGCAAATTCACTTTCCATACAGCAGTTCACATACACTTTGTCTTATGACATTGACTACAATTTACCACAGTGCAACAGCTCCCCTCCCACTTCGTCCTGATAGTTACCTCTTCCCTGTGTCCATCCCTCCATGCACTCCTGTCCCCTGAGCCGTCTCCCTGTGCATAAACAGCCCTTCTTTCTCCCATGATTGTTCTCTCTAAGGATTGTAACTACCTCAGGTAAATGTTCAACTCATATGCCTGCCTTTTGTTTGGCTGGAAGCCACAGGTGTGGGTTCAGTACCAGACCTGAAGGGCAGCTAGGGACCATAGTCTCAGAGTTGCCATCAGGCTCTATCAGACCAGCAAACATGGTCCCCCCTTTTTATTTTTTTCCTTTCCCCAAATGATTTTGAGTTTTGTTCCACATTGTTCTCCCTCTCTATCCAGGATCTCCTACATAGATCCCCCTGTGAGTGGTTGACAGTGGTAGCCAGGCACCATCTAATTCTTCTGGTCTCATAGTCATATAGGCTGTGGATCGCATGGTGCACCAGTCACCAGGACTAATTTTTTCCATAAATCTTTGGTTTTCTTCATTCTTCTTTGCTCTGGATGAGGAGAGACCCATCGTTGCATCTAGATGGCTGCTTGCAAGCTTTTAAGATACCAGTTGGTACTTGCCATAGTAGGAGGTGGAACAATGTTTTGTGTAGTATGTTATTCCAGTTGAGCTTGATGTCCCATGTAGCTATGGTCCCGAGTCCACAGGTTCAACTACTCTGTCCCTCTGGGTAGCTGGCTGTGACCAAGCAGTGACTACAACCTTGTCAGCTTTACTATACACCTAGGAATTCAGATCATACAAATACACTTATAGGACCATGTCTGCCAACCCTATACATGGTCTTGGGCACACTCCTCGCTTCATAGACATATCTAATAGCTCACCCATCTATCCACTCGTATACACGTTTGCCTTCACTGACAACGCTGTATTGTATGTGCAAAAGGATTCATCTTTGTTGTCTGTACCTCCCATGTACCTCTCTCTGTCTCTCTCTTCCTCAGTGCCACCGTGTTAATCACTCGCATTTGGTACATTGCTCTTCTCTTCAACCAAATACTTATCTCTACCTATCTAACAGTGTTTCCTACCTTCCTCTGCCACCCCTGGTAACCAATAAAGAAAATTTCCTTCCATAGATAAACTTTTCCTCGGCTTTTCCAATAACGGACTAATACATTATTTGTCCTTCTGTGATTGACTTATTTCATTCAGCTTAACGTCCTCCAAGTTCATCCACGTTATGTGGTGTTTTGCAGATTCTAGGTTATTCTTTAGGATTGCATAGTATCCCATTGTGTGTATGTACCATAGTATGGTTATCCATTCCTAAGTTGATGGACACCTAGGTTGTTTCCATCTTTTGGCTATTGTAAATAGTGCTGCGATGAACATGGGTGTGCATATGTCTATTCTTGTCATGGCTCTCACTTCTTTAGGATACATACCTACTAATGGAATGGCTTGGGCAATCCTACTTCCGTAGTGTTACTGCCTCGGAAACCCAAGGAGGGGCCGCTATGAGTCGGGGCCGACTTGGCGGCACATAACAACAACAACAATGGAATGGCTGGGTCAAATGGTATTTCTAATTCCAATTTTTTAAGGAATTGCCATACTGCTTTCCACAGTGGTTGTACCATTTGACAGTCCCACCAGCAGTGTTTTAGAGTTCCAGTCTCTCCATATCCTCGCCAGCATTTGTTATTTTCTGTCTTGTTGAACTTTGCTGCTAGTACTGGAGCAAGATGGTATCTCATTGTTGTTTCATTTGCGTCTCTCTAATGGCTAATGATTGTAAGCATTTCTTCATATGTTTGTTGACCACCTGTATATTCTCGTTGGTGAAGTGTCCATTCATATCTTCTGCCCATTTTTTAATTGGATTGTTTGTCTTTTTGTTATTGAGGTGTTGGAGTTTTCTATAAATTTTAGGGATAAGTCCCTTGTCAGATATGTCATTGCCAAATATTGTTTCCCAATCTGTAGGTTCTCTTTTGACTTTTTTGGAGAAGTCTTTGGAAGCACCTAAAAATTTAATTTTTAGAAGATCCCATTCATCTAGTTCTCTTCTGCTGTTTGTGCATTTTGGGTTATGCTTGATAGTCTATTTATGCCATATATTAGGGCACCTAAATTTACCCCTAGTTTTTCCTTGAGGAACTCTATAGTTTTATGTTTCACATTTAAGTCTTTGATCCATCTGGAGTTAGTTTTTGTGTATGGTATACGGTACAGATCTTGCTTCATTTTTCTGCAAATAAATCTCCAGTTTTGCCAGCACCATTTATTAAACACACATTTTCTTCTCCATTTAATGGATTTCGGCCCTTAGTCAAAGATCAGCTGACCATAGGTCGATGGATCTGTTTCTGGGTTTTCAATTCTATTCCGTTGGTCTATGTGTCTGTCATTATACCAAAGCCAGGCAGTTTTGACTACTGTGGCTGTATAGTAGGTTTTGAGATCCGGCAGTGTGAGACCTCCTACTTTCTTCTTCTTCTTCAATAGTGCTTTGCTTATCTAAGGTCTCTTTCCTTTCCATATAAAGCTGTTGTTATTGTTATGTGCCATCGAGTCAGACCTGACTCATAGTGACCCTTTCTTGGGTTTCCGAGGTGGTATCACTATGGAAGTAGATTGCCCAACCTTCCTTCCAAGGAGTGGCTGGTGGGTTTGACCTGCCAGCCTTCTGGTTAGCATTCAAGCACCTTAGTCACTGTGCTACCAGAGTTCCCTATATAAAGTTAATGATTAGTTTTTACATTGTTGTTGTTGTTGATATGTACCGTCGAGTTGACATGAGTCATAGCGACCCCTCCTTGGGTTTCCAAGATGGTAACACTACGGAAGTAGATTGCCCAACCTTCCTTCCGAGGAGTGACTGATGGGTTTGAACCGCCAGCCTTCTGGTTAGTAGTCAAGTGCCTTAGGCACTATGCTACCAAAATGTTGATGGGATCTGGATTTCGATTGCATTGAATGTATAGATTACTTTGGAAAGAATTGACATTTTCACAATGTTCAATCTTCCCATCCATGAGCATGGTATGTTCTTCCATTTACGTAGATCTCTTATGGTTTCTTGAAGTAGTTTTTTATAGTTTTCTTTGTATAGGTCTTTTGTGTCCCTGGTAAGATTTATTCCCAAGTATTTTATTTTTTTGGTAGCTATTTTAAATGGTATGGAATTCCTTATTTCTTTTTCAGCAATCTCTTTGCTGGTGTAGAGGAATCCAACTGATTTTTGGATGTTGATCTTGTATCCTGCCACTATGCTAACTCTCTCAATTAGTTCCAGTAGATTTTTGACTGAGTCTCTTGGGTTTTCTAGGTATAGGTCATACCATCAGCAAATAGGGATAGTTTCACTTCTTACCAATTTGGATGCCTTTGATTTCCCTTTCTTGCCTTATGGCTCTGGTTAGGACTTTCAGTACAATGTTGAATAGAAGTGGTGATAGTGGGCATCCTTGTCTGGTTCCTGTTCTCAAGAGGAATGGTGCAAAAACGGTGAGGAGGCCACATGTTCCGACCTCCTCTAACCTTACAAGAGGAAGACAGGATTACCAGCAGTAACCCAAGGCCTATTCCTGCCAGGCCAGACATGTTGCCTCCCTCCAACCCTTTCTCCAACCATTCCTCCCAAAGCATCACCACCTCTCTCCTGGGTTCGATAATTCGCTGCAGTGGCCACACAGAGCTCACGGATTATCGGGTTTATTAGGGAAGCACCAGGCTACAATTTGAGTTCAGGAAAAAATGCTCGGTCTCTCTCCCAGCCCACCATCCCTCGGCCAACAGTCTCTCATAGTCTCTCTCCCAGCAGTACTGGTCCCTCGGTGTCTCACTCAGCAATGCGTGTCTTTTGCGTCTCTTTCCCAGCAGCACGTGTCTCTTTCCGGATCGCGTGTCTCTTTCAGCAGCACATCTTCCTCAACCAGCAGTCAGAGAGAGTTCTGCCTCTAGGAGGCCGCCTTTTGAGCCCGGCAGGGTGGTCAAACTAGCCAATCATACCATCAGAACTCTAAGCACCTGAGAGAGAGTGGGCACCTCCCAGAACATTGTTTTGTGCCACGCCCAACAGAAATACTCCAGGTAGACAACTTCAGCAATCAGGAGCCCCTCAGTTGCTCATAGAAAATCTCACCTTGGA